ACGTTTTTTTAGGTACATTCTCTCTGTGTACCTAACATATATCTCATACACACAATGAACCTGTATACAAATAATAAAATATTTCAATAGATTTACTTATTTAACAAATTAATGAATTTTGCGTTGTAGTTCATGAAAATAATTAAATGAGGATTATGATATACGATATAACATATATTATTCTTATGATTTATAAAACACAACAGGAAAAAATTCGTGTTATTGTGGAATTGTGTGTAAAAATATCGCACGCGCGCATATATATTTTGTGTGCGTATATATAACTAAATTCTATCATAAGATCTATGAAATTTTCTTGGTGGCCATATGTAATCAGCGAAACAAATAAGTATATTTGACTAGTTTAATGTTTCTATACATTGCAATTATATTTTTCTTTAGTCATTTATAGTCTTACACGATTTAGTTATATATCAAATAGCACTGTAGTTACTGATTCGTCCATATAATTTCGTTGTAGAGATCTATGGCTTCTACATTCATTACATTGAAGGATGTAGTATCCATTCATTAGAAAATATAGTTACTAGCTAATATTCTATGTGAAAATAGAATATTTTAAATCTGTTTTATTTTATTCTAATTTTTAATTATTATTTCTTTGAATTAAACCATAATATGTTATTAATATAATTCATAGTTATATATATAAATATATTATTTTAATAAATTATTATTTAAAATGTATATTATATTTTACAATGAAATAGGCTAAAGTAATATAATTTAGAAGTAATAAAATTTTTAATTTGGATATTAAATGCATAATATTAAGTATTATTAAAATTTTTTTTACTGTAAGTTTATAATTTTAACTTGAAATATTATTTGTATAGTATACATATAAAAATAATATATAAAAAGTCTTTTATGGAAAATAAAATTATCTGGATATAATGAAAGTGCCGAACGTCAAAGATTTTGTTAAAAATTTATAATATTTAGGCTAACCGGAACGTTATTTGACTCGAATTTATCCTAAATTAAAATTTTTTTTTTTATTATAAATTTTATATCCGAATCCATATACATATATATATTATTTCAGCCTTATATGCGGCCAAAGGATCGAATCAGGTATGCGAAGTACGCGGATTAGAATTATACGCAGATCTCTATCAAATGTATTTGATCGAAATGTTTTGCCTATGTAGACCAATATGAACATATATATGCAAGTATATAGATTCTAATTATTATTTCTGTTCGATATTATTATATTTTATTGTAGATATTTGTTTTATTTCTAATAATTGATATTATATAGCTTTTTCTATATCCATTATTATCATTTTCTTATATTATGATTTTATAATTTTTTTGACGAGAATCAAATACGTTTACTAGTTTTTATGTTGTGACAAATTAAGTTTTCTCTTAACGCTACTGTAAAGATATGCTTTTAAGAAATCGAACTTTTTATGTTTGACAAAATTGTTGTGGCAAAATTTACGATGTAAAAGTATATACTAATTGTAAGATTAAACTAATATTACATTTGTCGTACGACAAATTTTTTTCAAGCCTATTAATTGATTGTAGAATGATCCGAGAATTTTTGCAGCCAATTAACACGCTTGAAAAATTTGTGGGAAATGTAATATAGTCTCATTGAATAGCAAAGATTTGTAGTAGAATTACAAATTATATTGTACATAAAGTACGATATAAAATTAAAAATCATTAGTTAAACATATAAGAGTCCGAAAATTTTTATAAAAGCGCTGTAAAATATGCGCGCGTGCGTGTATGCGTGTATTATTAGTCAGGCAAGATATTGATATGTTTTTATCATAACTAAAATGTTTCTTTTGTATACTGACATTTGAGTCATTCTTGATTCCAGAATTACAAAAATAAAGATGTTTATAATATAATGTATAACTCATCCTGCTTACACATATTCCCCTGATTATTATAATAGTTACAAATTAATTCGTAATAATTTTTAAAACAAATTGCGCAATAGGAAATACAATTCACATAATCGCAAAAAAGTATTTCAGTAAACGAAAACTCGTACTATAAATCTATATAAATATAGAAGCTACAAAGTTTTTAATCGATATATTATAGATAACTCGAATAATAATCATATCGATTTATTCTACTCCAAAAGATAAATAAAGCGAAATTATTTATTAATTCATTCGGCAGTAAAATTATTAGGGTCATTTGCTTTTTCTACTTTCACTTTCAATCTTTTTATATTTTATGTCCAGACATTACATTCTATCGACTAAATTTTCGGAGAGCAACTCTTTTTACTTCCAACTATCAGTTACAGTCCAAAAGTTTTGATTCGAATTGAGTTACGAAGTTTTAATCTAAAAAAGTGCGTAGGAGTCACTTGAAACTTAAATGGGTTAAATAAATTGCTTTTTAAAATGCATTTTAAATCCTTTTCATTTCAGTTATAATTGATATAACGCGAAACTCAAGTGTTTATATTCATATATATATATATATATATTTTTTTTTTTTTAGTATACTTTATGCAAAGATATTTATATACAAATATTTTCGTTCGTCCTCGTATACAATGTTTAATTTTTTTTAACGTTTCATTCAGCGAACGCTTGCAACGGCACAACCGTCGCTACAATTTTTACTATCCAGTTTTTTTTCCAGTGGTTGCAGTATGTGATAGTTATGGCATATCCGGTTTTCGGGCATTTATTATCAAGCACGCGAGTTTGACTCGATTGAATTTGGACGATCTCGTAGTCCATTACGATTTCGTATATTGTACTGGTACCACACAGTGCACATGCAGCAAGTATAATATTTTTTTCTACTGAATGATATAATCCAATTGAAGTGACAGCGGTACGTAAACTGAGTTAATTGGAGCGTGCGTACTGGATCCTTTATGTGGAATTCACAAGCTGACACGGATATTCTGCAATTTATCCGTTGCAATTGTTACAGCCGTTTCTCTCATTTGTCCGGCGAAACGCGAGAAAATAATACCTCACTTTTTTTTTGCGAGTGAGATATACGGGCGATAGAATATTGGTAAAGTTAACGACGGATGGAAATTCAATGACGCAGGCGGCAACGTCATTTGAGAGATACGAGAGATGATAGAATTATTCATGACTCTGGGTACTAATAATGACGAGAAAAAATTTCTTGAATCCGCCGTGAGAATCACATTATATAACCGTACTTCGATTATCGACAATTATAGAGCCGTAAAGAGAATAAAACAAAAGATTACGCATTCAATGGAATGTGCTTGAAACGCAGAAGAACGTATTGAAGCTGGAGAGAGATCTTTTTACAGAATTTCTCAGACCTTGTGCAGTTTATAAATAATGACGCGATAGAATAATTATACGCACAGGGTTAATCAGAGTAATTGGAGCAAAGGTGTAATCGTGACACTGAAATAGAACTGCTTTAAAATATGGTGAAAATTCCACTGTAATGTATTTTATGTATCGCGCAAAAAAAGTAATCTTTGAAACTACATCTACAGAAGTGCAAAGCCACGATGAGATAAAAAAAAGGGAAAAAAGCGGATGAAAGGAATAATTTTCGTTCGAATGATTTCAAAACTGGGTCATTACTCCAAGGATTCGATTTACAAATATATTTTAAATTGTTCATGAAATTTAAAATATACAATATTCAGGGAAAGAAAAAGATACGATATGAAGAAAGACATTTTGATATCGAATATGGTAAAAATTTTACTACAAACTTTACGTATCACGCAGAGAAAAGTAATGTTTTGAAACTGCATCTCCAAAAGTGCAAAAGATAAGATGAAAAGGGATAAAAGAAGGATCAAAGGAACGTCTGAATGATTTCAAAACGGGATCATTATTCTAAGGATTGGATTTACAAACGTATTTCAAATTGCTCATGAAATTTAAAACGTAATATTCGGAAAAAAGAAGAGTACGACGCGAACAAAGATATTTTTATCTCGACGTACGTATTTCATCGAGAGCTTTTCCATTTTTCAACAATCAATAAAATTTATTAATCAATGGACTCCTAGAATTCAAACAATAAACAATATTAAATTTCGAACAATATTCAAATATTCAAACAATAAAATTGTAACTACGAGCATGAGAATAATTATTTAAAAAATATAATAGAGTTCGAAATGTTTATTAAATTGTGTATTTTAGATGATTAAATAAAGATAGAAGATTATTTTCACAGAAAAAAAATCAGCATTGGCTTTCACGCTCCCTTTATTCTAATAATTTTTTTTATTTATTTCTAAAGCCGTTTTTATATTATTTTAAATTTAAAAAAATATAAAATATATTTAAAATATCACTACATATGCGACGCAAATTTTGAGCATGAGTGTTTAAACGATTTCTTTTTCGGTACGATATTCGTTGATGATGGTTAGAAATTAGTTCAAATTCGAAATGTTCAAATTCGTTTAAAAATCACAGACGCGTAGTGATACTTTAAACTTCAATTTTAAATCATAGCGCACTAATTATCGTGCAGTTATTTATTCTCACTTGCCCGTAGTTACAATTTTATTTTATTTATATTACATTATTAGTAAATAGTCCCTATAAAAAAAAAATCTTATAAAAAACCCTTTTGACAGAAAAAAAGAAAAGATACTGGGATCCACTCGGATCACTGTACCATTTATTCTCGGATGGACAGCACAGGAAAGACGCTCGCGAGGGAAATTGTTAGAATGTGAATCGGGTGGTACACTAACAGCTCTCTCTCTCTCTCTCTCTCTCTCTCTCTCTCTCTCTCTCTCTTTTTTTCTCTTTCTATCTCCCAGTCGATGTTCCGACCCATTTTAGAGCTCGTTAATTCGCGACGAGCCAGTTAAAACTCGACCAACGTTGTTGGAATGGAAAGTCGTGTTCTCCATGTTCTCGTCGGTACAATCAGGTACGACCAGCAGGGATAACAGCGGCGGCGGTAGCGGCGGTGGTGGCGGCGGCAGCGACGACGACGATGACGGCGACGTCGGCGGCGGCGGCGGCGGCGGCGGCGGTGGTGGCGACGGCAGTAGTGACGGTAGCAGTCTCGGTCGGCGCGTCACGAACGACACGTTCGCTGACAGACGTCGCTCGTACAGGAATACCAGTCGTGTGACCGGAGTAAACGAGGCTGCTCCGTTTTCATTGATCTTTCTGTGTTTCTCTCGCGTGGACCGTCTTCGCTCGACAGCGGCTCGAGAGGAATCTCGAGAACGAGAACGACGACGACGACATTGGGATGGCAAAAGAAACGCGAGCACGGTCGCGTGCGGCCGTACCACCGATGAACTCACATTACTCCAGAGCGTAATTCCTTCAGCGGTGGAGGGAAGCCCGCTCGGAGTGATCGGCTTCGTAAAGCAGTAGTACAACGGCGGTCGTGGGCAGCGACGGACCGATCGCGGAGTCGTGTCGCGTGCGTCGGTGGTCTTCTCGGCATTCGTCACGCGAAATCGATAAACGGGGACGTCGCGAAAGGGAGAAAGAGAGAGAGAGAGAAAGAGAGAGAGAGAGAGAGGGAGGGAGAGAGAGAGAGAGAAAGGGAGAGGGGGAGAGAGAGAGGCGGTCGCTTACGCGCGCACGTTATAATTCGCGTTGTGAAAGGTGCTAAAACGAGGACTCGAGGGCGAGACGAGAGAGCGAGAGAGCGAGAGAGCGAACGAGAGAGAGAGAGAGAGAGAGAGAGAGAGAGAGAGAAAATAGAGGTGTTCGGGGATAATTGCAGGAAACGCGAGTGAAACGGCGACCGCAGTTGGACTCGACTAGTCGGGAATCCTCGCGACGTTCCGCTTCGCCGCCGCGGAATCCGTCTAGCGGAAAGCAACGACGCTTTGGACGGCCGCGCGGCAACGAAATTCAAGGATCCTCCTCGAGAATCAGCGCGTATCGCGGAATCGTCGAAATCGTTTACGCGCTCGCGATCGTCTCGATCTCAATGGACCACCGTGATCGCGCCGCGACTCATCATTATAGTAACCTTGAGACCCCGCCAAGGTAATCGGGAGGGATCTTCCGTGAGCGGGCCGGCCGTTCTCCTCGTCCCGACGACTCACGGCAGTCCGCGAACGTCGGAGAACATCGGCAGACACGGAGAAACGGTACGATTATATTCGCGAGATGAAGAAAAGCTCCAGCATGCCTCGATCAATAGGCGCACGGCCTTCGCCGGACTGACTTCCTCGCGCACGCAACGCGAGACGCGAACGCGCGTCGCGTTCGCCAAAAGGAGCACGTGCATCTCTACGACAACGACGACGACAACGATTACGACAACGGTGGTCGAGAATTGGTAGCTCGGTGATCGTGGATCGAGGGGGAGAGAGAGAGAGAGAGAGAGAGAGAGAGAGAGAGAGAGAGAGAGAGAGAGAGAGTCAACCGAGTCGAAGCATGTGATCTCCGCGGGGGTTTCATCGATCATCACGCCGCTGAAGGAGGGATGTTGCGACCGCACATCGGCAGGATGGTTTAACGTCGGCCGATCCATGCGTGTCGATGGCCGATGCGAACAACGACGGTTGATGAACGATAACGGCGGCGTGTAGACAGGTGGGATATCGTTGACCGCGCGTAAGAAAGTGTGTAACGCGCGTCGCCGCCGTGGGAACGCGAGCGTGAGGAATAGGTAGGAAGCCACAGCACAGGTGGCGGTGGTAAGGACGGGGCAGAGAGAGAGAGAGAGAGAGAGAGAGAGAGAGAGAGAGAGAGAGAAAAGGAAAAAAAGGGTACAGCGCTCGCTGTATTGTCCTAAGGGGCGAGACCTGCAAGGACTATGGGAGTATACAATGGAAGGATATAACATGTCGGTATAAGTGAATGACATTACTGAAGGAGGAAAAGAGAGAGAGTGAAAAGGAAAGAAAGAAGCAAGCGCGAAAGAGAGAGAGAGAGAGAGAGAGAGAGAGAGAAGAGAGAAGGAGAGAGATAAAGAGGGAAAGAGAAAGCGGAAAGAAGCCCCAACAATGAAGGAACACGGCAACAAACAACATCCGGCGGAACCGGCGGCGAAGACGCTCAAGTCGCTGCTGAAGAAACCGGGGCAGACCAAGGCGAAGTCGCAGAAGCATCGAGTGGTGATCAATGAGAAGCTTAACGAGTTCTTCGCGGCGGACTACATAATACTGATAAAGGAGGAGTGCTGCGCCGATTACGAGGAGGATTGCGACTGCTGCTACCAGGAGCACGAGTTCATGCGGCTGGGTAACTGCAAGGAGTGCCGGGCGGAGTTGAACCTGCACTTCGGCATCGGCGCCGGCACCGGCACCGGCACCGGCAACGGCAACGGTAGATACGGCGAGATGGCGAGGGGTGTGGAACAGGCGCTCTGCGAAAACGCCGTACGTGGAGATCATCGCGGCGGAGGGACTCGCGGAAAGAGTCAGCAGGGTCGCGAGGACACGCAAACGGAGGAGGATGAGGAGGAGGACGAGGAGGAGGCCGACGACGGCGAGGAGGAAGAGGACGAGGAGGAGGAGCGGGAGGAGGAGGAGGAGGAGGACGAGGAGGAGAACGTCGACGGGAAGGTGGAGAAGGTAGCGGCGACGGCGGCCACCTCCTCGGTGCAGGAAAGGAAGGACTCGAAGAACGAGCGAGTGGATGCGGAGGACGCGACGAAAGGGCGCCGGACAAAGGAAACCGCTACCGCGGATTCCCAGGAGGAGAGCGGAACCGTGGTTCCGCCGCCGCCGCCGCCGCCGCCGCGGCACGATCAGCAGCAGCAGGAAACGCTTAGCCCGCCAGAAGGTTACAAAGACGTGTGCTCCGACAACGAGATCGCGAACGAGACGGAGCAACGTGGCCGCACATCCGCGTCCCCCGCAACGTGCACGGAGTGCAATTACTACCAGCAACAGGCACCGGGTAAGCCGACTCTAGTTGTGTTGTTCACGTAATTCAGTTATTTTCTCGATTAATACCTCGATGACGGAAGACGTAACTTCCGTAACGTCCCCATAACGTAACACTATCATTTCTTCGACTCTCGCGATGTACGTGGAGAACAAAGATGGACTCTATATGTATGTAATGGAATTAAAATACCTTCTTACAGCGACGTTTTTTCCTATGCGAACTATTATGGTTATATTGAGTCTAAGTTGTAATTTACCTGTCGATTATCTCACACACACACACACAAGAAGCAACCTTCAATAATATCTTCAGTAATATATTGAAGGAAAAGCCAATTTTTTTGTATTAAAAGCAATTATAGATGGGTGATTGCGGAAATCGATTGAATGTTGCAATTTTGCTAACATGAGGATTTGAAAAGAAAAGGTGAATTCTTTGTATGTAACAAAAATTAAAATATTTTCTTAGAACGCCATTTTTTCCTACGTAAATTATTTTATAATCGTCTTATATTGATTCTAAATCGCGATTTGTCTGTGGATTATCAAAATTCGATCTTCAATAACATATTGAACGGGAAAAAGTCAATTTTTTTTATTAGGAGCAATTTATAGTTAGGCAATTGCGGAAATTACTTTGCTTGAATATTGCACTTTTGTCTTGAGGATTGCGGATCTAACGAAGCTTTATATATATCTATATCTATAAATATTCCCTCAGTAGGGAATTAACTGCTCGCAAACAGCAGATCTCTTCAACTCCCAGATTCTCATTTAGATAATTGAAGATTAAGGCATAATCTCTTCTGTAATTGAATAAGAATATATTTTGGTAAAAATATCGTTGCTTGATTAAGCGACATTTAATTTTTACAAAAGAACTAATTACTATTTTTGTACATTTGCATGACTTTTATCTGTCTTTTACATTTCACCTCTTTTTGTCATACGAAGAAGAATAATAATGTTAAAAATAACACACAGTAAACATTATCGTATAATATAAAGATAACAACTTAAAATTATTATGTTAAAAATGTGAGAAATGAATACGAATTTTCCACATAAATTTAAAGCAGCACCGAAAAGCCGTACAAATGTTCTTCTTGTTAAGGAAGAGAATAGTTTCATAATATTCTGCAACGAGCAGTCGCATAGCACAAAAGCTTAACACAACGTAAACCATAGAGTACACTTGAAGCTTTAACATCCGGAAAACTTTTGATACGTACCACCTTGTTGATTAGAGAAGAAAAGAAAATCTAATGCAGTCCGTTATTATCATCTAACAACCGTGTAAATAAAATATTCATTTGAAACACTCGCAACATTAATTATTTGCGGTACCAAATCATAACGGATATATGACTGCATGTTGTTTCTTTCTCTTTTCATCCCGATTCTTACGTCTATAATTTCCTCGAAAACTAGGCGCTATTCGCACTTCACTAGAAGTTTATACACTAATTTCTATTTGAACAACGGTCCACAATTTCTATTGACAATATCTGATTGAATTCTTTACAGAGAAATTCGTTTTGAAGAATTTTATTTACTCAAAAAATTTTGTTTCGAATATTGTCAAAAATTACTCTTATTGTAGAATCAAAGTGAATTTTTTCGGCTTCAAACAAGCTTTTTCTCTATGTCTATTGCAGATGTATATAGAATTTAATACTATTTATACTTTAAATGCTCAATTTGCTGCATACGTATTAAATCTATTACTTTTTTTCGCTATTATTTACAATATATTATTTTTCCCAAAATATTTCTCTGTGACGCTCAATTTCAAAACGTGGATATGTGTTGGATAGAATTCGAACGAAAATTATTGTTTGATAAATAAAGAGAGATATACTTTTCTTTCTAAAAGTCGATTGTATACATGTATCTAAAAAATAATTATCTCTTTATACTTTTTTATAAAACCGTTCTCGTAGACGTGAAATTACTTTAGCGAGAGGGGAACAACTTCGAAACGTAATAACGTATTACGCTCGCGTATTGTAATAAAATAATTAAAAAAAAATATGTTAATTTATATGCTTTATTCTACACTTATAGCATGCATGATGAAAGTAATGATGCTACATATCTGAAGTTAAATCTATCAGCTTTAATGGAAAGGTGCAAATTAGAAGAATTGCATCGTTGTTCAGCTCTTTTCTCACACATAACCGAGAAACAGTCCCACGATATCCCTTCACACAGGATGCGAATATAATAATGGTATTGTTTTTCATGAGTCTAGCCACGGTTGGTAAACCGTTTAAGAACATAGCAGGATTTTTATGCGCATTCTTTAGAATACCGAGAAAGCTTAAAAGGGAAAAATATCTGAAATCTATAAATATTCAGAATCATTCTATTTCGATAGTTGCAACATAACAGGTTTTTTTATAACGTTCGCTTTTTTTTTTTAAACGATAGTTAAAAACACAGGCACTGTGTCGTAAATTTTTTTAAAGGAGCATTCAGTGGTTTTGTCAGCATCGAAAGTTCGTAGTTGCTATCTGAGAGAAAATAATTCAAATAACATTTTTATAAATATCGGTAATCCGCGGTATAACGCTATCGTCCGTAATTATATTAATCGATTTAAAACTCTGATCAGGATCTATAATCGCGGTCACGCAAAATGCCAATGTATGTAGATATAGAGTATAGGTTTATTCGTGTATATCAACGCTCACCGGAAGCGCGGCCTAGCGTAACTCCGGTACTTCCCCGGGAGATACTCGGTAAGAACACTTATATTTCTAACTAAACGGTTTGCGTTTTATTGCTACGAAATAGTATGCCTAGATTTTCTAGGAGACATATTAGATTAGGCACAGGTGTTTGGGATTCTACAAAATCTCGAAAGTTTGCGGCAAAAGAAGAATAAAAGATATTTAAAGTACCTTTTAGGGATTGTATTTTACATAATTTATAGTTCCCCGCATACATTTCGCACATGGGCTAAACAAACTTTCAACGTACATTAGATTCATTGAAACAACGTATTAGATTTATTGAAACGCGTGTCCGACACAAAAGTTCGCAATGTAAAATCTTTATTGTTCGTGTGTATTTTAAATTCGCAACAGGTTGCGATACGTACGAATGAGAAGGAAAAACACATGCATCTTCTCCTAATGTGACATTTTTTAATAAGTCACGTCCAAGCTTGGACTCAAATATGTGATAAAATTATACGAAGCGAATTACATGCGAAACAGACTTTTATGTACGGGCTTTTTCCATTAAATACATATTTTTTTCTTTGACCTTATGCTCCAGCAAAATTATCTTTGCTTGGCATAAGATCAAAGAAAAAAAAATATATATTTAATGGAAAAATTCCCTTTTTAATTCTCGCAACTTTTGAAATATACGAAATCGCGATATTTCATGGTATAAATATTTTACCACTGCAAACTGTTTGGTAAGTCGGAAAACAAGCTTCGTTTTCTTGCGACACGGTAAGTGATATATGGTAAAGCATTACGATATAGAGGAGTGCTAGACTAGAAACTGCAGAAGTTATTCCAAGCTGTCAATCGCTCGATACACACGGTGCGACTTTGAAAGTACATTAAACATCGATGGCCATCGCTTGGTTAGAGTACCAGTAACTATTCTAATTAGGAAACTCCTTCGATTTTGATACCGTTTAAATGAGAAATTTCCCCTTTCGAATTATCACAATTCTATCGTCAAATTATTTTGAAAAGAACTCTTCTTTTAATTATAGACGAAATATTCATTTTTTTAATAATATTTCAATATAAAATACATGTATATCAAATATATACGTATCAAAATTAAAAAAAATTGATTTAAAAAAAATTAAATCTCGCACAACCAAAATTCGTTGTGAGAAGTAGATGCAATCAATCTGTCTGAGATTTCACATAATTTCGTAACGAAAATTGAAGTTAAAGACTGATGAACGTACAATCTTTATATACGTGTTTTTTTTTATTTATTTGATCTTATTTATTGCCGAATTTATTTTAATTTATGGACTACATGAACGATCTTTGGAGAGTGCGGTGATTATCCAGATGCATATTTTTTCGCGGTACTACTTAAGTTTTCACTCGCAACTTAAGTAGTGCACGTTAATGAATGTATATTATATCAAAAAGCAAAAAGAAAAAAAATGGCGTTCGATGAAATTTCCGGGAAATGAGAGGCAGGTGTTTCTCTACCTGGAAAGTGATCTCAATAATCAAGGGAAAGTACGCGATTTCTGGCACACCACATATATCTCTTCCGCGTATCTGCCACGACGTCGTAACACACATACCTGATAACAGATAAAGTTTCTAGCGAGGTCTTAACGAGATACTGTAGTACAGAAATGGCATTTGTATCAGACACCTCGACTTCGCTCTTCGCGGCCATTAATATGGCAGATTTGACGCACTGCGTAACAAATTCTGCAAGGATCTCGTATTATCCAAAGATCGTTAGTGAGTTGTAATATATAGTATACGTTTCACATATCATCTTATTGTCTTGAAGCCTGTAATAAACACGCTTAATGGAGGCATAATAATGCGCATAATTGCGTAAAGGCGTGAGCTAAGACGTATGAGTTCGATCTTGCCTCTTATGTTCCAGAATGCGAATCGCAAACGAAGGATCGTGGGAATGAACAGGATACGCAGGGCAGCAAGGACACGGTGCACGACGGCAGTCAGAGAAATTTGCAAGAAAAACAGGATAAACAACATCGGGCGTCTCATCCCGGTATATCTTTTTTTCATTTCAAATTACTTGAGTATTTTTATTACGATTTATTTTTAGAAATACAATCTGTCCTGCAGGCAAACATTTATTTATGTCTCCGATTGCATCAAGTACCATCTATAACAGGAAAACGCTACATGCTTTCAATCCTTACTGTAATCCTCTTACTTTCTTCACAACTTTCTGCCTTTTCATATTTTGCTGTAAACTACTTTAACTCATTACCTATTGATATTCATTTCTTTCTTTCTCTGTTTGTACTTTCAGATTAGTTGCTTCTCGTTTATAAGTGAATGTATTATATTCATCTCAAGTATTGTATTCTTTAAGCCTCAATATTTGTTAATAATTTCTTTAATCGCCGATTACATTATTTATTCTATGAACTCTTATCATCTTTATATACCTGTATAAATTAATGTATGTATCAATGTTTATGATCTTCTTTCTATTTATGTAAAGTTTTTGTATCTGATTATATTCATTATCACCTATTATTATCATTTTTATTTGTATTAATTTTAACTATATCAATTTATTATCAATATTTTTATCATTAATAAATTTTATTATTTTTATTTATATTAATTAAATGTAGAATCTTTTTTTACAATATCTTTCTGTAGTTTTTGTATTCGCATACATTCTTTATTATTATTATTATTAGTATTATTAGTATTATTATTGTTATCATTGATTTTATTGTCATTTTTAATCTTATTGATTGACAATAAAAGATTGAGGCTCGTAAGAGCAGCAGCATTGCTGATGCTTCTTCTTTTGAAATGCCGCTCTCTAATACCTTATCTGTATGTAACATCTTTTATCTCTTGCGACTTTAATAAAGCTATTGTTATTATAGTATTATAATATTGATGTAATTCATGTAGCGATCTTTCAAAAATATTACGAGGCATTGTGTAAAGCGGAACGCGAGTATTTCTTTACACAGTATTTCTATACGTAGTATTTCTTTACATAGATAATTCATAATTATATAACCGATGACCATTAATTTCGAAAGTGACGTAAATGAAGATGCGGAAGACGATAAGTTCGAGTAAATTGGAGGAGGTGCACGTATCCCATCTAACTAACGCTTTCAATGCAGCATGCAATATATTCGAGATAAAAATTGTATATGGTAAAATGTTATCTCGCGCGCACTAAACGAAAGCGTTCGAAATTTCATTGCGCGCTCGCGGTGCATTTATTTTTCTCGTTTGATTCAAATATACGGTAACTTTGTTCCTAGATCTGCACCATCGTTATCTCGTGGAAACAATAACGATGACGACTGTTACGGAGCGACGCATCGTGCGGGAAATTAGCGAGGAGGAGCGGAAGGATTGCTTCGGGCGATCCGATACGGATAAAGATAAAAGCGTTTGCGATGCCCCAAAGGATAACGGTTTTAATCCGGCGCTTTGTCCCGGGACAGGCGGCTCAATGTCGATCGTTCACGAGAACGCGGCGCAGTTCACCGCACGGTGTAACGACTCGGATGTGACAGAGGATCGTGAAGGTAATGCAAACGCCAAAAATTCGACGGGCAACGACAAAAGAGTGGCGACGACGGTGGAAGCGGAACGCATCAGCGATCAAACGACGACGGGCGAACAGTCGCGCGAGGCGCAGGACGCGAAAGAGCTGTCCCTCGTTTTCAAACTGGGCAACGTGTCCCTCGCTAGTAACAGCTTGAAGCCAAATTCCGCGGTGAGACAACTCTTTCCCAACCCAAAGTTCATCTCGCCACCGCCGGTACCGGCCAACAAAGTGAGCTCGTCGACCGGCTCGGAACACTCTCAGGACGAAGCGCAGAAGTTTCTGATTACCGCCGAGAGTCTGCGGCTGTTCGATGCGGTTAAAAAGTCGACGGTCCCTGGTGGCTCCTACGAGTCGCCAGAATGCGAGTCCAGCTCGATCAAGAGATCCATCGAGCGGAACACTCTGCGGCGTAGTCTGATCGGCAAGTACAACACGGTAACGCGTAAGAAGAATCTGCGGCCCAAAAATCTGTCGCTGGAGGAGCGAATCAGGCAGCTCACGTGCGTCGATCAGGATGACGAGAACCTGGACACGACCGACAGCTCTGACAACACGAACTCCGCGAGCGATCCCAAATACGGCGGAGATCTCTCGATACGAACGTCGCCATTGGGCGAGGAACGGCCTATGTGCGAGTCGCTGCCGGCGAATGTAGCCTCGACGGAAACCACTGCCATTTTAACGATGGTGTCGACGAGATCGAACTCCTTGACGGCGGCGACGGCGGCAACGACGACTACGGCGGCTGCGGCGGCGGCGGCGATGGCAACGAGCGCGTCCACGAACACGCACGGGCATAATTCGATGGGAATGCCGATGCTGGTCACGGACAATCCACCGAATCAGTCTACCTACAGGAAGATCACGGATCTGTTCGCGCATAAGAAAAACATTCAATCGAATCTACCAGATCTCGGGATAGGCCCGGGTGGGAGAAATCTTCTCGCCAAAGAGTGCCAGTCGAAAAACCCGTTGACGAAGATGAACTCGGATGTGCGAAGGCAATTACTGGCGAGTCTGGCGCCGTTATCCTGTGTCACAGTCAACAGCTCTGACAACCAGGACGACTATTACCGAAACGACTCCAGGATGTTGACATCCTCGAATCGTGAATCGATAAGCTACAACTCGGACTCGTCGTACAGTTTAGAAGACATAGAGGCAGCTCTGAATGGCGACGACAGGAAGTACGCCGGTCAACCGGATGTGACGAGATGCACGCCGATAGGCAGTAGACCCGACATCGGCGACAACACCGCTGACGAGCTGTTCGCGTTCGTCGAGCAGGACAAGTCGAGGATGGAGCGGATAAAACGCCGCTACAATGAGCCAGAGGATCGTTACACGTTCATTAATGGCTACCACTCCGAGGACAAGGCCGTAAATACGTCTGAGAATTATGACGGTAAGGGTATTAAGAATCACGATGGCAAGGACGCGCAGGCGGACAACGAAGAGGAAGAGGAAGATGACGAACTCAACGATTACGGGTTCAATCGACGACCGTCGGTAACGGGTATCAAAACGCAATACGAGGCTACCAACGAGGCCATTCATCGAGCACGAGCGGCTTGCGCCAGTGCAACTAACAATGATGCGAGATCTGGCTCGATATGGCCGATGTATTGCGATGTAAACGGCGACAAGATCGACGCAAAGTCTCTGTTGACCGCTGACGGAGTGGACGAGGCGATTCCCATACCTACAGACGTGGCGTACGCGATGGGGAGCTTCGAGCGGGACACAAACACGATCAATCGCATAAACACAATGCAGAAGCAAATCGATGACATATATCAGACTATTGCCGAGAGCACGGCGGTAACAGCGAATATCCAGGGTATTTCCGAGCACGCGACTTATCTGGAGAACGCGATACCACGGCAGTTCATCAGAACTCCGTCCAGCGACGGCGCCGCGCACCTGTACGCCGAGCACAGAAATGGTCATCACTACTTTCAAGAGCAACAGCAGTTATCGAGCACACGTATGCTGCGTCGCGCGGGTGGTGGTGGTGGTGGTGGTGGTGGTAATGGTGGCGGCGTCGGCGGCGGCGGCGGCGGCGGCGGCGGCGGAGGAACCAGTGGTGGCGACGATATCGCGGGTGCGATATACACCAACACTCTGTCGAAGATGCAACGTCGCAACCCACCGGTGACGATCGCGAACTACCACTGCAACGTGATGCCCGGCGGCACTGTGCCCGCTGTCAGTACCAAGTGCTATCGCACCATGTACTTCGTGCCATACAGCGGCATGTCGGACCCCACGTATCAGAACATACAGCGTATCTTGCCGCCGCATTCCTCTCCGAACTACGCCAGCCACATCGAGCGCTACCCGTATCCTCGTTTGAACAAGACCAATCAGCAACAGGCGTTGTACTACAATACGAATCGTTCCGCGACGTCACATTCCAATTTAAACGCATCACCACCCATCCCGCCGCCGCCTCCGCCGCCGCCACCACTCGCGTCCGCCACCAACCCGAATTCCATGCCGTTGCAGAGTGCCCAGCAGGCCTTACACCTGCACATACATCCTCATCAGACCGAGGACTTCCGCCCGCCCAACATCGCGTTCTCCCCTGTGCCACACTCGACGGTGCACCCCATGCAATTTCACCATCATCAGCACCAGCATCAGCACCAGCACCAGCATCAGCATCATCACGGCGAAATGGCGTCGTATCGCGTGCCCATGGCGACGCAGCAATCGCCATCCTCGTACACGGTGATCGCGCCCTCGAGATGCATTCCAGCGAGTAACCAGGACGGCTATCCGTTGTATCCGGCTCACCTGGCGCGCGGCGCCGCTACCGCTGGCACCACCGCGACTGCCGTCGCCGTCGCCGCGGACGTGCAAACGCAAACGATCTCCATCGCGGCCGCCGCCTCGTCATTTTCATCATCGTCATCCTCGTCGTCTACCTCCTCATCGTCCTCGTCGTCGTCTTCGGCGTCCGCCCTGTCGTCTTCGTCCTCGTCCATATCGGCCGCTGCCACCGCTTCCCTAAAATGCACCGGGATCATGACTAATAGCAGCAAGAACTGCGAATCGATTCTAGGTACGTCTTACGGTAGTGGTAATGCACAGTCCGTGCCAGGGAACGTCACTCCACTCGCGTGCCCGGCGTCGTCATCGTCAGCTGCGACTGTGACAGCCGTCGCCGGGTCTTCGGCGACGATAATGCAATTACCACGCGCCATTAATACGTGCGCAGTAACGGAACGTGGAGTTCCCGAGGGTGCCGCCAGTATGCCCACCCGAGACTTCCCACACTCGGCTCTTGGCCCAGCGAACTCGGCGTCGCACGTCCTGCTGATGTCCAACTCTTACGTCGATCCCAACACCAGTCTCATGTCCGCTCCAGCCAATACTCCAAACACGGTATACTACGCCATGAATGTCTGAAGGGACAACGAGTAATTTATATATTGCGAAAAATGTTCGAAACACGCCTAAAAAAATCTTGCCTGAAAACGTAAAACGTCTTTACGATGTCTTGCGGATGTTGTATTAACTCCGGGAAGTATTAACTCGTTCGCTGCTACGACGAGTTATTTTAACGCGATTCGTAAACAATAAAGGCGTGCAGTAGAGAGATTCAGAGAGTCTCTTCTACCAGTGGCTGCACACACATGACAGAAATTACTCGTTGTCATCTTAAGACAGCAATATTTCTTGAGAAATACTAATTAAAAAGGGATTAAGACATACAGTTCTACCTGAATTCTTTTTCAATTCAAGACTTTTGCCTTCTTCGTTTTCGTATTTTTTTTTTTACTTTTTATCCATCCATAATTTCAATATTGCAATATCTTCCGACGGCTGATTTTGGCCAAGAAAATCATATTCGAAGAGTCTGTTTCCTTCGATTGATAGACGTACGAGAAATGAATTTTTAAAGAGATGACGAGACTGACGAGAAACGTCTCTGTGTGAGTACCGAAATTTTAAACGTTCTTTAGACACACGCATTGCGAA